GTAAAATAATAGCTAGAGAAAATACCGCCTATCAAGGCAAGGCCTTCAAAGAATAAACCGTTTTTTCGCTCCCCTGTAAAACTCGAGTGCCGTAAGATACGCGGTTTTGCAATGGGCGATGGGCGGATTTGCAAAAACATCGACGATATGTATATATGTATTTACAAAACTGTTGTCGGCTTCTTCCTCTCCTTATGACCGCTTTGCTGATTGTCAACAACATATCCGCCAGTAAAACCCAGCAGAAACAAATACAAAACACAAGAACATACAATCAGTGTTGCCAGAGAAAGTCCCCTAAGAGTCTTAGTTTTTTCCAAAAAAAATCTTCAAAATAAGATTTTAAAGTTAAACAAAAATCTTTTTGATCCCAAAAAATCTTAATTTAAAAATACCTTAAAATAAACACAAAATTCGATATTGGCTTTACGGCTATAAATAGCCTTTATTATGTTGGTTTAAAAAATTACCCATTTCAAATTATAAAGTCCTTTTTATAACAATTTAAACTTAAAATGCCGCGCTTCGTCACAAAATTTGTAGCACAGTTTACACAGTTCCATAATAATTTTGAGCTTTTTAATTCGAATTTTTATTGATATTTTTACATGGACGTTATTTTATAAAGCTTACCGCTCCTCCTTTTTCTCGTTATACATTTATCCATGTAGACCCATCAGAAAATGTTTCTTAAATGGCAGTTTACTTGAAAATTTCCCTTGTTGTTATTTGAACTAAAGGGGATACAAAAGACCGTTTGTTCTTTTCCTCCATTCTCTAGCTCTGCACTAGAGTATCGATGGCTGAGTGGAAGATCGACCTATCTCGGCAGCCAGTTCGAAAACGCTCTACCTCAAAAAACTTTTCAAGAACGCCCTATTTCAGAATTTAATTGAAAAACACCATTTCTCAATATTCGGTTCAAAAACGCTATATCTCACTTCATAATGTATTGAAAATATGCTGATATAGGGCGTTTTTGAATCGGCAGCTGAGATAGGGCCTTTTTGAAATGAGTTCTGAAATAGGGCGTTCTTGAAAAGTTTTTTGAGATAGAACGTTTTCGAACTGGCTGCCGAGATAGGTCGATCTTCCACTCAGCCATCGATATGTTTTTGACTGTGCGAGAGAAGAATGCAGATAATATTGTAGGGGATTTCGTATTTCATTTTTCTTCTTGCTTCCTTTGCGGCTTACAATGATGTAGCAAGGATAATATAAATAAGTTAAGAATTTTAAATTTAACTTTAAAAGTCTCACATCATGAAGATATTTTCAGTGTAAAATTTAGCTTTTTAAAAAATATTTTTTTGAAGATTTTTAATAAAAAACAACCCCAAAAAATCTTCATTTTCAAGATAAATCCTGACTTATGGCAACGCTGCATACAATACGAAGGCGGACTCTCGTGTGCTCAGCATCTCTCCGAGATTCTCTCCCATTTGCTGACATAATAGTACCAGTGTAATATCTTGTATATATCGATGGTACTCTGTAATAACGACACAACTCAAAACCAAAAGTAGTAAAAAAAACCCTTACTACTATTCAGTGGCTCATGATAAGGATTGGATACCTTAAGAGTTGTTTTGTTTAATGAGTTGTGTCGTTATTGCGGAGGACCATGGGTATGTATATACATACATATATATGTATATGTCTGCTTTAATGTTCATCTGCAAAAGCAAACACTCAGACACCGCAAACGCACAAAAAAAAAAAATAATAATTTATTAAAGCACATATATATATATATACATATTGAATGCGTTGTACAAACAGAACGATCAACTAAAAAAAAGGATATACAGTTAATATACTTCAGTACATACATACATCCGCGCATACATACATATGTACATACATAGGTGCGCAAAATTTTATGAGAAAAGGTAATGCATCCGCAGAGTGGTACAAATATGCATAGCAAACCATACAAAATTGTTTATAAAAACAACAGCAACAAGTTCATACGTACATACATACCCACATACATATGTATGTATGTACACTTTTGGTCAGCTGATTAAGTCAAGTGATATTTCGACTAGGTTTGGTTATTTTTCTTTTGTTTATTTATAAAAGTTTAGCACTTCACCTAACCAGCACCACATAAATCCACATTTCAAACTTCGTACAAAAATTATGAAAATTCAACAAACTTTAACAATTGCACCCAAAAATTTTAAACTTTTTATTTAGAACTTTTAGAAGGCATTTCTCCCATACAAACGACATTGTCGAGCATACTTTGGATGGAAGAAAATGCACAACACCGTCAGCCAAAAACAAAAATACTCAAAATAAACGCGATATTCTAGTGCTTGAAATTTTCACTTTGACCTACTAAAATTTAATGTTCTACAAAACTGCATACCACAATTTTTTCTAAAAATTCTTAATAAAAAGTGTAAGATATTTGGAGCATTTGTAAAAGTTTATTAAATTATCAAAATTTTTGTACAAAGTTTGAAATGTGGATTTATTTGGCGCTCGTTAAGTAAAGTGCTAGACTTGTATACAAAAAATATAAACATAAAATAAACAAAAGAAAAATAACCAAAACTAGTCACTAGACTTAATCAGCTGACCACAAGTGTATGTATGCACATGCAAAATATTAAATGCAAACATGATAACCCTCCCATCGATGCGTACGAAATGGATAAAGTATACATGGGTATGTATGTATGAATGAGCGCCAAATGCAGAATTCATGTGCTGACAGAGATCCCGAAAAACCAAGAGTACGCGAGTACATGACATCCACTTCACCTAACATGAACAGAGAAAATTGTGCCAATTACACAATACTGCAGCTACCAGTTTGCCAAATAGTTTGTGTGATGTACAAGTACACTGCATCCAAAAATTGTACATGAACATGCTTTTATAATCCCGTCAAAGTGCCAGATCGTTCATGTGTTTAAATGGGGCGGGAAGATCTATCCGGATTTTTTGAGTATCCGGATCATCAATCGTGATAATTCAAATTTTTTGAAATCGGATGAAAACTTTGGAAGTTTGCAACAATCAAATTCTAGAAATTATTTCATCTAACTTTATTAGCTTAAGAAAACAAAATTTGTGAAAAGGGAATTTCTAATACCTGTTCGTCCTTGTGAGCCAAATCAACATTATTTTTTGTAAATTTTAGAGAATTGTCTCTTTCATTTAGTACCCATATTTTTATCCTACATTGCACTTAATTTTTAAATTTCAAATTCATTAAAAAAAATTTTCATGCCAGAGACAAAAGCTAAAAACGCAGTTTTACTATGTTTGGCCCATAGTCCATGGGTGCTAACATTTACTGTTCCGTGAATCTTTTGGTTTTTATCGCACAGTCTGATAGATTGTTATTCATCATTTTAAAGGTCTATTAATACTCTTCCCAAGCCAGGGCTGATTTCAAAAAATCCGATGACAAATGGTCAACCTGTTAGTAAGTAAGAGCATCAATTTCGAAAATAACTGTTTTCTTTTTTTAATAAAAAGGAGGTTACTCAATGTCTGGTTAATACTAAGTAAAAGCTAAACATTGTTACATAATCGACTCCCAGTTATATATAGTGCGAACAACTAAACAAATAGTACTGAGTTAGAAATTTTGCGTGCATAAGGAATAAATCAGCATAATCCTTTTATCTGATAAAGTTTGTTTTTGTTTGGTAAGCAAAACATAGCTTTTAGAGCATAAAATTAATTTATATTTTCCAAGGAAAACATAAAACTTAATAAATAACTTTCAGCATGATAAAAAACAAAGCAAGATAGAACTTTTTTTCAATTCATCGGCCATGATTTTATTATTATTATTATATTTAAAAAAAAGAAGGTTTTCTAATAGGTTGATTGAAAATGTAAAAGAATATTTGTGAGAAATTTTATAATTATAATTCTGAAAAACATCAAAAATGCTTACAACGGTTCTGCCTTTCTATATTTTTATGATGACTTTCACTTTCAAAGCAATAACTGAAACTCTAAAAGAACTTAAATTTTCTGAACCTACATTAAACTTGAAAAATTTTCGAGTTATTAGTAAAACTAAAAAAAAACTTAAAAGGCTATTTCTTTAATCACACAAATACATTTAGTGTGTACCTGTATACCTAAAGAAAAAAATACAGACCCACACATACATATACATAGGTAGATATATTTGTATTTACCCTACTCATAAATATTAAGTTATTAAGAGAGAACAAAATCGAGTGGGGATGCATTACTGAGAGAAATCACACACTCTTTTGACATTTTACACGTATTATATGTCGTTTTCCAACACTGTACATACTAAAGTAGTCTCCAGCGCTAGGTAGTACAATTGCCAGAAGAATATGTGAGTATAAGTGAGCAGATAAAATACTTCTGTTGCAATGCGAGCGGAAAAAGGTAGAAACAGAAGATAAATTAAGTAATAAGTATGGTGAGAATATTTGTATGCGCCCCCACCAAACGCGCAGTGTGCAAAGGCTGAAGATAGTAGATTTTTGATTGTTTGAATTTCAAATGTCTTTTTTCTCTCAGAATTTAAAAAAAAAAGTCGCATATGTACACTTATTTTTAGAGTAGTTTCCATTCATTTTAATAGTGGCAGACTGTGGCTCACTGCAACACTACAACACTCTACATTCAGCCTTTCGTTGTACTCTTTATTACTCTTAACCTGTATGTTTGCGCTTTTATTTTTTATCCAATTGAAATGCCTCAGTTAGATCCGCAACCGGATAAGCTACCACACACCATAGCTCATGCATGAAAATTCGGCAGTCGACTGAGGTTTCCCAATTTTTGTGTTAGTTTGGTGTGCGAGATTAGACCAACATTGGTGCTCTCTCTCGTTGTCTATACACTTTGCAGTGGTGTTGTACATCGTATATTGGGAGGTCTCGCTGCTTTCGTGGTATTCCGACTGCGACGTCAACGCCGACTCAAGTGAACGCGTCTGGCAAAATTACGGTGACGGGTTCAGGTTCTCTCCATCAGACGTATACACTTCAGTTAGATTTTTGCTTTGGGTTGCGCCTGGCCAAGTGACATACACACGCGAAAAAACAAATTACCAGCTAGCTTACGCTGTACGGTGTTAAAATTTTTTTTTAGTGAACTCAATATTCTTATTAATAATCATAATCCAAGGTGGATATACATAGATAAATAAGTAGAAAAGTAAAAAATAGCAGCGATATCCAAAACGAAGTAACCTCGATATGTGTATAAAAAATATATTTATCAAGTTGGTTTTTTTTAGCAAAAAAACGCCTTTCTTGTAGAATTTAAGTTTTCTTTAGAATTAAAGTCTCTATCGCCGATTTCGTTTCGTTTATTTCGGCTTTCGGTTTTAGCTTCTTCGGTTTTTTCGCGTGCGAATATAAACTGTAAAAGTGCAAAAAAACTTCAGTTATGAAATATTCAGTCGAGCGTTTATAGTAAATATCTTGGCTCCCAAACCACCAGCGTACATAGAGCAAATAACAGCGCAGCTGTCAGACTTGGAAGTGGAAAGTGGCAGCCGCTGTTGGAGAGGAGGACTACGTACAACATACATACATAAGTACATACTAACCAACGTGTGTCGAAGGCGCGTGTGTGCGGAAGGCGTGTACAAAGTAAGGCAAACTGAATACTTAGTGATTAATTTTTTTCTAAGAACTAGGAGGCATATACAAAAAGAACAGTGACAATAAAATGACAGAAAATATCAGTCGATTCTTTGATGTTGTGGTGTCATAGGGCACCGAAAAGTGTGATAAAATATTTGCATAAATACAACAAATATACTCACTAATTAAAAATTAACTAAAAAGTATGTAACAAATAATTGTGACATGTATAAGTACATTCAAAATCCGCAGCTAGTCATATGCATGTATGCAACTTATTAGGAAAATAATTAAAAATTATTAAAACAAAAAATAAAATTAAATTAAATTTGTATTACAATACAAGTTCGGCCAAACACTAACATATTGTGTAAGCATCAATCCATTATTATTATTATTATAAATGAATAAAGTAAAATAAAATAAAATAAAAGTAAAAAAAAAAAATAAAATCCATAAATTTATTTAAAATAAAATTAAATTAAGTAATGAAAAAATAAAATCAAACTAAACTAATTAGACAAAAATAAAATAAAATAAATTTTTTTTTGCATAAAAGAATTTAAAATTAAATTAAGTAAAAAACCAAATGAACAAAATAAATGAAAATGGATGAAATAAATTAAAATTTCGTAGAAATGTACGTTTACATACCTTTGGCTATAGCTGAGTGTGCAGAGGTGCGTGCTCTTATTGGTTAGAATCCAGGAGATCCCAAGATGTTAAAACGTTAACACAAATTTTTGTTTTGTATTACTAAGCTGTGAAAAGGCATCTGCGAAGTGCAGAATGGAAGCGTATTCGAACGAAAAAGCCGCTAAACACATATCTATGTACAGTACACAAGCCCGCTGCATCCTTTTTTCGATACTTCCGAACTAGTTCTAAATTCGACAGATAAGATGTAGTTCGTTTCGCATACCTTTTTCTCTAGTTTCGAACCAGTTCTAAATTTGTCACCTTAGATATAGATTTCTAGTGGAAAAAGTGAAATACAATAGTTTTTTAAAAGTACCACATTTCGCTGATTTTGGACTGGTGGGGATCTAGTTACTATTGGACTGATTCGATAAGATCTAGTACGGAACTAGAAATTTGGATTCTCTAGTCCGCGGTTTCCCTGCAGGGTATGTATGCACTTAGATTAGATTTAGAGGAGGGAGCGGGTCACCTAGTTACCGCGACCGAAACGATCTATTATAACAAGCCTCTATTAAACTACAGGTCATCTTTGATCCACATAGGTGATCCTAGTAAGCGAAGTCTGGTCCTGGTAGGAGCTTCACAGTGGCACATAATGTGCTCTGGTGTTCCTGTTCTTCGTTACACAACCAAAACTGGTCAGAGTTGACAACTCCTATGTTTGACAAGTGTTTCATTACCCTACAGTGGCCAGTAAGAAAGCCTGTAACAATTGTAAGAATGTTCATGCCTACTGAGGTGAAGGGGTTTTTCGGTTATCTTTGCTGATATATCCGGAATGATGGGCTTGGCCTGCCTGTTACCTTCCGTCTTTGTCCAGTAATGTTGTGCTTCATTCTTCATCCACATACAGTAGTTCCGCCTAACGGAGCTCCATGGCAGACCGGTAAAAGGTCCTGGGCCTATGAATCCCTGTGCTGCCCCTTTTCTGGCGAGAATATCTGCCACTTCATTGCCTATGACTGCATTGTGTCCCGGTACCCATATGAGGTATATCCGGTTCCCGGAGGCGGTCAGAATTAAAAGTTGAAGACAGTCTCACACCAGCCTTGACGTGACCTCGTACGCTTTAAGAGCGAGGAGCGGCGCTCTGCTTTCCGAGTGTATGTAGATGTGTTTTTTGGTTGCCCCACTTTCTACATACTGCCTCAGACAAAGTTCAATGGCGTGAAGTTCGGCCTGAAAGACAGAGTTACCCTGCCCCATGCTGGTGAAAAGGAGCAGTCTGGATTACATGCCGCAGACTCCTGCTCCGACGCCGTGGTCAGTCTTTGAGCCGTCAGTATACCAGATGTGGCTGTCCTTCCGGGGTTTAGGTCGTTCGTTGTCCCAGTTATTCCTATCAAGAAGAACCTCGAGAGTCACCGTTGGTGATGTTCTCATCGTGCCAGTGATGCCCACGCCCTCCAGTCTCTGTAGTTTGCTGAGCTTTGCCTGTGTGGACTTAACTTCCGCCTTCTTCCGCCAGACGGGTGCAGCACAGGGGAGAATGGGTTTGGAGAAGGCATCATACATTCACCTCGCCAGTTTAGGTCTGATGCACCAGTTCCGTGCCATAAGTTTCCGGCAGGTTCAGATAGAGTTTTTGAATAGTTTTACTTAGATAGGCATTCCATGAGAGCTTGTCATCAAGGATAACCCCTAGATATTTGACATCTTTGGAGAAGTGTATCTTTTTAAATTGAAGGAATGGTTCTACTAATTTGTCCCTTTTCCTTTTCCTGAAGAAAATAACTATGCTGGTCTTCTTCGGGTTAACGTTTAACCCATTTTTACTACACCAATTGGCAACTATCTTCATAGCATTCAGTGGGAGGTTAGAGATCGTATCTTCGATCCTACCTGTGATTAGGATGACAATGCCATCCGCATAGCCCTGAACGCCGAAGCCTTTTTCGCTAAGAAGGCAGAGGAGTTCATCTACTACGATGGACCATGGCAGAGGGGAGATCACTCCCCCCTGCGGGCAAACTTTCGTAGTTAAGAATCTGACCCTTTCCTGTCCTAGAGTGAATGTAATGGTTCTGAATTTAAGGACGTTTTCTATCCAGCGACATGTGGTTTGATCAACCCCTCTGCGGCGGACGCAATTGTGTGCTCCGTGTTATCGAAAGCGCCCTCCACATCCAAGAAACAACCCACCGCCACCTCTTTTTCCTCCAGGGACTTTTCAATTCTCCTTGTTAGAATCTGAATCTGAGCGTGGATAGTAGATCTTCCTGGAAGATAGGCATATTGGTGTCTGTGCAAAGGGTTCCTGGTAAGGAAACTATCTCTGATATGCCTATCTACGATTCTTTTCATTGTTTTTAGTAGGAAGGACGTGAGACTAATGGCTCGGTATGACTTTGGTTGGCCTGCTGGTTTTCCCCCACCTTGGAGATGTAGCGGACCGTCACTTCGTACCATTGTAGTGGAAGGGACGCCCACGCGGAACATGCTCTGAAAAGTGGTATCAGGAAGGGTAGAAAGCGGGGAAGTCCTTTGAAGATGAGCTGGGAAAATGCCATCTGCTCTAGGTGCGCTGAAAGGCGCTGAGGCAGATATGGCCCATTGGTTCTATCCTCGTCGATTGGCGATTCTCCAATCCTCTGCCCAGGAGCGTTGTATCCCAGTCTGCGTGTGGATTGTTCTGGTTGTGCTCAGTAGCAAACAATCAGGAAAATGTCCTTACTAATGACAATATTTAATGTACTACATGTGTTCTCATTCAAAATATGTATGTATGTATTACAAAAATTCGTATTGCAACTAGAAATTGACAAAAATACATGCCTAGTCATCGTGATTGAGTTTTTCGCACGTAAACGTCAAATAGCAAAGTACATACATAAATACATATTTATGTGTGTAGATATGTTTGTACACGGGCTACCTGCAATAAAACCATATTTTTTCTATATTTTTCGTTGTCTACAATCACATATGATTTGTCCGAAAATAATAAATCACCTGTAAGGCAATAAACGTGACTACATACATATGTATCTATGTATGTATATATTTTTGCATTTTGCATTGCAGATTTCGTACAACTTAAGAATTTACTTTCGTAAAAGTAAAACTTATATGTACTTGCATGTGTATAACAAAAACCGAAATATTTTTTTTAGTGTTTTATATTAAACTAGTGAACCCGCACGGCGTTAAAATGCCCAAGCTAGAATTTCAAAAACCTACAAGCTATTCCAAATGTTCTCACCGTTTCGCATAGTCGGTTTTTAATATTATCAAATTTTAAATCACCCTGTACCGATAGAAGGTTTCTAATTTCAAAAAATAAAACTTCATCGCACATCTACAGGCTAAGGGTCTTCATTTTGACTTCGCATATTTCGGAAATAATTAGGCAGGTTATACATTTTATCTCCGAGTGAACTTCTACAAAGCTTAATTTCAATTCCAAGCGATTTTGATTTAAAATTACTCGGAAGTAAATTGCAGAATCTACCTGAAAGCCTTTTCAAACCCATTTCGATTGATATCCATCCTTTAAAAATTCATTTAACTTATTAAATAATAATAATATTAAATAAAATACGTGGCAATCCTCCTAAATATATTTCACAACTGCATTATTACTAACACCCACATTTTATTAATTCATTTAACTTTTTAAATAATTTGAATTTTCAGGTTCTAACAAATAACTAACTCTTTTCTTTGACGCCAATATATACGCCCAAATTTTAAAACATATTTGAATTGGTAATTGCTTTAAGTTAAGGTGAGTTGGATTTTCTAAACAGGTGGCAACCTTCCTAAACAAATTTCAGAAATAAAGCCTCTTTAAACCCGTTTCGATGAAACCCGTCTTTTAATAATTCATTCAAGTTATAAAATAATTGGAATGTCACTGTATAAACATATGGCAAACATCTGCAAATATTCTAGATGTACTAACTCGAGTTTTCTTAACACTCTTTTGCTTCACATTTCAAATAACTTGCGTAAAACTTAATTAAATTTGACTTTTTTAACAGATGGCAACCCTCTTCAAAAGTAATCTGAAATGGCGATCCATATTTTAATTAACTGATGAATGAAGTTGAGTTTTGTTTTTGAAACATGTGGTAACCTCGCTAATTATAGTTCGGAAATAAAGATTTTTCAAATCCCATTCGATTGATACCCACATTTTTGTAATTCATTTAACTTACTTAATAATTTGAATTAATTTTTTAAACAGGTGCCAACCCTCTTCCAACACCACAAAAATATTCTTAGTGTCCTAGCTAAGGACTGCTTAACACTCTTTTGTTTGACATCCATATTTTGACATTTCATATATCTTGCAGATAAGT